TGCTCGGGTATTCCTTGTGTGAAACCTGATACTAATCCTTTTATCACTTCATTGACCTCATTTTCTACTCCGCATTTCCTCGCCAGTTCTCTCCATTCACTTATATTCATTTCACACCTAGCTTTTGATGGCCATCTTCCGTTCGATCTCGTCAAACTGGTCCTTGGCTCTTCTGGTTGTTCTCTGACTAATGGTGTTTTTGACGGGAGCGTAGCTTCTGGCACTTCTCTCTGAGGCGGTGAGTTTGATTTCTCTCTCTCATGTGTCATTCTCTCGTTCTCATTTCTCATCATCTCCCTACAGACAGTCGAGGGCAAGGATCTCAGTTTCTCGCTCTTATTCATCACGGTATTCATTTCTAGTTTGGATCTTTTCTATCTCTCAGGATTTCTAACAAACATGATTTGGCAGTGAAAACAAGGTAGGGAAATTGATTTTAATTTAACTCATCATTATACTCACTGATTTGGACCTGTTGCACTACTGCTTCCTCCTGCTTGCTTCGCAGCTTTCAACGCCTCAAAGGCCCCTGGTCCGTACTTAGGCACCACAACTCCATTGATTACCGTCGTTGGGGCCGGGTTCACTGCGACTCTAGCTCCACCTCCCCTACTTCCGATTCCTCTTCCTCTCCTGCCTCTTCCTCGTCCACCTGACCCTTGGTTCATCGCTCCTTGATCTTGAAATCTATTTTGATCATAATTATAATTCTGGTGAGGGTTTTGTCCTGCTCTATCATAACTTGAGTGACTATAGGAACCTGATTGGTGATTAGGTTGCTGATGAGCTCTATTACTACTGTTTGATGCTAGATGTGATAGCATCCTGCCGCCTGTCACCGCCGTGATTTGTTCGTCTCCGTTAGACAGTAAATCCCAACCAACTTGATGTCTGCCTGTCCACGGGTTGACATGTTCTAGCGCTCCTCCTACTATGTACGGGTTGTCGAAGTACCGATGATCTCCATTTGCCTTAGAGTCAGTTATCGCCTGCTCGACTAATTCGTCGTTTCTCACTCCTACATCCGACAATGATCCATCTGCTAGCGTGTGACTGAAGACGTTCGTGCGGTGAGTTATATCATATCGAAGTGCTGGAGCCCAGGCATCATGATATTTTGCCTTGATTGCTAACACTATTTTGTAATGTTCTTCTAGGCGTAACGCTATATCTTCACGATGATATTTAACTCTCCAATATTGAACATATAAGTTGAATGAAGTCGACCACATTAAGAAGCTTTGTCTCCACTCGTTTGGTACTCGAAGACCGACATAAGAAATGATATCTGAACAGGACGAGTTTTGTTTCCTTCGATTCGACATATGCGTTTTGTCCGCCAGTAAACATGCCGGTACGAATATCGTTAAGGGAACATATCCAAAACATGCCGTCATTCTTCCATCCCAATACGGTGAAAGGTCTATGAGTCTTTGAGTGAGAGTTATTCCTTGTGCCATCGTCTTCCCTATCTTCGCAGGTTTTTCGGTCGCTTGTCCTTTGCCTTTCCTCTTTAGAGCGTTTTGATCTACCTCTTCTTCTTCACTAGAACAATTTAGCATTTCTATTGGTCTCGGTCTTGATTTAACTTTTTCACACCACTTCTCATATGCACTTTCTAACATTTGAAACTTCCCAGTTTTGCCTCTTTCGTAGAGTTTCATCAACTCAGCTATGTATCGTTCGTGGTCTCGATCAACATGTGCATTTTCATTCACGAACTCTGCTTCATCGCCTGTATGGACACAACACAACACACAAGACCACATTTCCTGTCAGCACTGTTCTTGCTATCTTATCTCTTTATCACTTTCACTTTGTTCACGACTCTTTTCATCACAACGATCTAGGACACATATCATAGGACTTCAGGACCTTAGGCATCAAGAACTTCAGGACATCTGACCCACCCGTGTGGCTTCAGTATTTTTCTAGGCTCTGCCTTTTCTGGACTTCAGGACATAGGCGTTGCCTTTTCTGGACTTCAGGACATCTGATCCACCCGTGTGGTTTCAGTCTATTCAAGATCTTTTTGAAATGATACGAGAGAAATTACGAGAGAAATTATGATCTGAAAGATTCTTGGGGAATTATGCTTACCTAAAGAGATGGTATCCTCATCCTCTTCACCTCCCTTGTTTCCTCCATTTCTTTCTTCCTCTTCTTTTTGATCTCCTCCTTCCTCTTCGTCAATTTCTTCATTCTTGTTGTCCTCTTCTACTTCCGTCAATTCACTACCTAACTCCTCTATTCCACCTTCCTCTTCTCCTGATGTTTCTTCCTTTGGTTTCCTAATTTTTCCTTTTGTTCCACCCCTCGTTTGCCTTGTTGTCCTCGTACTTCCTCTACCTCTTCTACCACCTCTTCCTCTTCCTCTAGTTGCTTTCCCTTTTCCTCTACTCGGCTCTCCTCCTTCTTGTTGTTCTTTCTCCTTTTCGTGGGTTGCCATAATTTGTTCTACGTCTTTTGCGAATACTTCAGAACTGCTTTGACCTTGTGTTGCCATTTCTTCTTTTTGTTTTCAAGATGTTTCAAAAATGAAATTTCTTTTATTTCTTTTTGGGAAGCGTCTAGCGAAAGATTTGTTGATTCGAATCTGAGGTGTATGAGTGGTGTGTGGCTTGTCAAACTGTGATGAAGAGATTTTCACAGTTTGCCTAGCCTCTCTCTCACAGGGCCGGGTATTGTCCCGTCCCTTATTACTTCGCACTCATACACCACTAAAGGGTTTTTGGCGAAACTCACGTGAGACGCGGGTTCATTACAGATCCGACCCCTGAACGTGAATCTTCCTGTTTAGGTAACATGTGAACGCTGCATCATCACATTACCGCGAACTTCACCTTTGCTCCACGGCATTATAAGCCCATCCGTTGCCATCACAGGGAGCCGAGCTGTCTTGTATATGTGATGAAATATCACAGCCTTGAGCCGCTCGTTGCACCGAGCTTCTATGTAACCAAAGCAAGCGTGAGAGAAACAAGATCGTTTCATGACTATCACGTTGCAGAGATAGTCATGAAACGATCTCAGTGCCCGAGAAACATACCTGCAATGTATCTCCGATGCATGAGAAGTCTTCGGACAAACATAAGCTTTCAGACATGTCAGGAAGACATGTTCTGTTCCCCCCGTTGAGGGCTCTTTTTGGGTCTGGTCGATATCGCTTCTTGCACTGGCCCCATCGAAATCTCCCAATCAAAGGCTTCCTCTTCGATTCAAATCTGCCGAAATCAACTCTTTGGCGGTTGTGTGTGAACTCTTGAATACTCGGATACCCGCAACAGAATGCCTGTGGGGTTTGTTACATTGGCTCAAGCCAGTTCCGATGAATGTGAGATTTTTTTCACAGACCCCCCGGTCCAGACTCCAATGTGGAACATTGTTAATGATCGAAATGATATATGATCCTTTAGACTTCGTCCAATCCACATCTGGGGCAAACATGGGACATTGGACATGTAAGCTCTGTACAAGCCGAACCTTCAAGGACAAAGGCCAGCACTGCAAGTTAAAAACTCACATCGACCGGGTCCGCGTTGAGCTGGAAAGCCGCTCGATGTCTCGTCCCACCGTTGCCCCTCCTGGGCTACGCTCTCGAGCCAAGCAAGCTACCTCCGTGGAACACCGGCAAACTCCTCTGTCGCCGACGATACCTGAAGAGGGTGGCGTCCCTGGTCGCTTCAACAATTCCGGTACCGGAGTTCCCCCAGGAATCATGGACCTGTTCGATCAAGATATGGACTCTAGCTCTGATGAGCTAGAGTCACTATACGGGCCGTCCCACCTAAACGATGTTGCCTTTCCCGACTCTCGAGAGTCCAGTGTGGACCTAGACGAAATCCTGGATGGCAGTTCCAAATCATAAAGCGGAACAGAGGTGTCACCTGAACAGGATCAAAGAGCTATCACCAATACGTGGCTTCCATGGTACCCTCTTCGAAAGAAAGAGGTACGTCAGTCCACATTCTTGTACAACCCCCGTCCGTTTTGCTGATCTTTCTCATCTTTGGTCCATCTCCATCTGAAGCATGCGGCCTTGTTGTTAATGTTGGGCACAAGCCGAGATCTGATGTCGACAGCAGAATATACACGTATACGCTGTATCTTGAAGAACGTCCTGCAAGTGGATCTGCCCGATCTTGGTCAGTCAAAGCATGTTCTGTTGGTTTTGATTACCCACTGATCACTACTTGGATACCCCGCAGGACATTTGAAAAACATTCGTAAAGACCTCAAGGCCCGCCTCGGCCTGAGGGTGCTGGAACAAACAAGTCCGCTGGGCAATCCGTGTTTTACTCTTTCAGTGACTGATATCATATCTCAGGTGAGGATTGTCAATTGTCCCATTCCCCTCACATATCTATAGGCCTGGCAAATCTGATGTGGTGTGGTTGGTAGGAGTTATCTAACCCCGAAGTAGCTCCAAACATCGAGTTTCTGCCGGAGGACGACAAAGCGGTCATTGTTGATCGTTATTCTCAATCGAAAAAGTGGCGTGAAGACCTACCACCAAGTCTTCGAGTGCCTATGGTTGATGTCGACGGCGAGCACTTTTACATATACGAACCCGCACAACTTGCGGATTCTCGTGTAGTTATTCCGGTTTTCTTTTATAAGGATGAGCTGGTTGTTTGGGCAAAGTGCTTGGAAGTGGTGCCCAACGGTCCTGGCGGCTCTCACCACTTCCGCGTAGCTCGCGAGCCCAAGTTTGATTCAGCTACTCTCTTGGATGTGGATGTTCAAACCTTTGCATGCTCTTTTACAAGAATAGAATTGCATAATGGCATGAAGTGGTGCAACTCTTCAGCGACTCAATTATTACGTGAGCTGGTCCTTCATGGCCACATTTGAAATTTTAAATTGGACACTGATCAAAAGTGCGTTATGCAGAGGAAACAGAGCAAGGACTAAAGCGCATTGAACTCCCAAATCCTTGGCGGGTGAAGGCAAATGGTTTGATTATTCGAAACATACCGGTGGTGTTGTATTCTGATGACACATCTGGTAATGTCTCCAAAAAATGGAACAAACACATGTCCTTTTACTTCACACTTGCGGGTCTGAGACCAAAACTCACTAATCAAGAGTACCATATCCACCCGCTGTGCACGTCAAACATTGCAAGTGCTTTAGAGCAAGGAGACCAGATCGTGGATGAATTGAAGTGAGTGTTTTAATCTCATCAGCAATTACCCTGTGCTTCTTGAAAACTGATGACAACAACATATCATAGCCGCGCCTCGTCAACCGGATTTAAAACTTATGATTGTACTATTCAGGAAGATGTCCTAGTTGTGCCTTTGGTCCTTTTCCACATGGGCGACTCACCAATGCACACGGAAATCTCTAATACCACAAATCCTTCCGGTACTTTATCACCTTGTCAAATTTGTGATCTCACCGTGGAGTCTCGGGCGGAGAAACAAACTGAAACATATGTTCAAAAGTTTGTTGGAATCAATCCAGATTGGTTACCGGTACATCTTTGATGATCAATTAATTTAATCAATATCCCTGACATATTCAAATGTTCTCTGTAGGCCACACTACCTTTCCGCAACTGGGACCGTACCAGAGAGCAGACCAAGGCCTTATGGGAGCTCACAAGAAACCCTAAAAGCATCAAACAGTTTGATGACCTATCAAAACAATTTGGTACTCGTGATTCTCTAAATTTACCTTTTGCCAGGGAAATTCAGCAACTCTACCGGTCCAATAAGAACAAACCCAAAGGAGAACAGACTTCCCAGAATGAAATCGTCCGTCATTGTCAACATTTGGAAGAAAAATTTGGCGACCATATGTTCAACCCATTTCTACGTTTGGCAGGTGCGCTCTGAGTTGATATAAACCAAATATCCATTTGTACTGTCTAACAAGTGTTTAACAGCTTTTTATGGTCACTTAGACACCCCAGTGGAAACCCTCCATGTGGTACTTCTCGGAGTGACGAAATATCTCTATCGCGACGTAGTTTCCAAATTATCACCTGCGCAGCTTGAGACCCTTCATGGACGGTGGCAAGCTTTCAAAATTGATGGATTGAATGTCGCACCTATACAACCTCGTAATATGGTCCATTATGCGAACAGCCTTCTTGGAAAAGACTTTCGGGTGGTCTTGCAGGCTGCACCTTTTGTATTATTTGATTTCATACCCGAAGAATATAGACACTGCTGGATCGCATTAGTTCATTTAGCTTCTTATGTCTTTCAGCCAAAGATTTTCAACAAGGAGAAATACATTTCGGACCTCAAGATCGTCATTGCCCGTTTCTTGAAACAACTCATTGCCCTGAATGCTCAATGGACCAACAAACCGAAATTTTACATCCTCACCCACCTACCATTTTCAGTCGAGCGTCATGGACCGCCACCACTCTTTGCAGCGGAAAAAATGGAGTCTCAAAATGGAGTTACTCGTCACGCTTCTGTTAAATCAAATCACCATGCCCCAGGGAAAGATATTGCAAACCGTTTCAATGACCGGAGATTATTACAAATGCTCATTTCCGGCGGATCCTTTTTTGATACTAAACTTGGTACCCGGACCACGGCATCCACACTTTTGCGCAAGCTTTTCCAAGAAAAGGAGATTCGACGAGGGCTAGGACTGCACCTCCCGGCGGGTGGTTCAGAGCACGTTAAGCCAGTTAAGGTCACGTGTGAGTGTCAACTCGCTGAATGTTCAATGTTTTGATCTTTCAAGGTCTTATCTGACTAAGCTCCTTTGCAGACCCTAAACCTGAAAAGTTCTAGAATGGAAAC